TTTCTATTTTTAGTAGAGACGGGGTCTCGCTCTTGCTCAGGCTGGTCTCGAACTCCTGAGCTCAAACAATCCGCCCGCCTCGGCCTCCCAGAGTGGAAAGCTTTCTTGATAAGTAACATTCTGATAAAATAATAATAGCTAATGTTTACTGAGCATTTAATTATGTTCCAGGCACTGTTGTAAATAGTCATTATATATTAACTCACAGCAGCCCCATGAGTCAGTTAATATAGTACCTCCGTTCTCCAGATGAAGAAACTGAGGCACAGAATCAGGACCACGGCACTGCCCTCTACCCTCCAGAAGTCTGCCTGGAGGACTTCTCCTCAAGGTAAACTGCCAACTTGGAACTGTGACAAGTTAAGGAGAAAGGCTAGTGGAAGGGGGCAGAGGGTGACTTCGCTTTACTCAATGCTCAGTGAGTCATGAGTTGGCTGCTCCTTGGCTTCCAATTTGTTACTAGGAGGCATTGCCAAGGACAAACTCAGGGTGCACCTGGGAGGCAGACAGCCCAGGCTCTGAATTCCCACCACCAGCCTTCCTAGCTGTGCAACCTTGGACAAGTAACTCCGTCTCTTTGAGCCTCAGGCCCCTTGTCTGTAAAGAGAGTGCTCTTTAGAAAGATTCACTTGTAGACGGTGAACAAAGAGCTCTGCACAGTGCCCGGCCCAGAGAAGGTGCTCCTGAAATAGCTGATGAAGGGGCAGACAACAGCCCTCCTGGTGGGTCACGATATGGTTAAGGCCATACTCTCGGAGCTGGGGATCCCAAGAGAATGAGACAGGAAGCTCTCAGCTCTCATGGGGCTTGATTAGATAATAAGGAAACAAATAGATGCTGATTTAAAGAGTGACAGATGCTGTGCAGAGACCAAAACAGGTGGATGTGATAGTGCCTTGACGCTGGGGTAGGGGGACATCTGCCCTCAGTGGTGACAATGACCCCTGACTTTAGGTATCCAAAGGGCATGCAGGCAGCAGAAGCGTAAAGTGATCTACGTGTAACCAAAAGGAAGACCATAAACAACTGTCACATTCTGAGCGCTGGCCAAGCAGGGAAGAAACCACCTTGGGCAATGGGGAGTTCCTCATTGGTACCATCTGCCAAGGAGGCTGGGGAAAGTGTTCTGGCACCTGGAGGAAGCGGTCAGGGCATTAGATCACACAGCCTTTGGGGTTCAGGCTAGCCCCATAATTTAGTGATCTTTATGATCGCGGTTCATTTCTCTACCAAGTTTGTCTGCACCGGTTTATTCATTCTACACCGACTTACTAGATAATTCCTGTATGTCAGCGCTGTGTTGGGACATGGGTAAAGCAAAAAGAAATACAAAGATGATATAGACCAGCAGCTGCAAACTGGTGACCAGCACTGGCCCCACGCTCATGTTTTGCTTGACTGGCAGTATTGACCCTTACAGTGTGGTAAATTATAATGAGGGGCCCGTTTAAAAGCAGGAGTTACCACATAAAAAATCCAGATTTCTGGTTTCTCTTGAAAAACTCAGATGTTCTGGCCATTATTGGAGCTGAGTGGAAGACACCCCTTTTCGCCAGGGCTTGCCTGCTCAGGTCACACAAGTCCTCACCATTCTTTTAGTTCCCAGACATTTGTCATCTTACATTTGCCCTGCTTTACCCAACTATTATCACCTGCCTGGCCCCACCCGGCATTTGAATTTGTAGCCCCTGAATCAGACACTGTTCCTGTTCCTAAGTCTTTCACAATCAAATGACAGTTTCCCTCACAAACAATCCCACTAGCTTGCGATTAATTAACACTTACTTTGCGCCGTGCTTTTCCAGATAGAATCTCATTTAATCCTTACAACAACCCTAAAAAGTGAGTATCATGGTCCCTGTGTTATAGATGAGGAGATTCCAAGAAACAAAGCAACTCACAGTCACCCAGCTTCTTAGAGGCAGGCTCAGATTCAAACTCAAAGAATCTCTAAGGCCAAGAGTTTTCCACTGGCCTAGAGGGCCTCTCTGTTCTGCGTGGCCAGCTTAGTAAGTTTCCCAAGCACATGCCAGTGCTGACAAGGACATGTGCTCTTCCGCTGATGGATGGTCCAGCCCAGTGGACTGCTACAGACTCAAAGTCACTTAATACATTTGCTTCTGTTTTACAGATCAGCTGCACATAACTGACTAATGTGAGCTAGTTTGTGAGGCCTGGTCACTCTGAGTCATTGGATAAAATCCAAATTCTGAACCAAGAAGGGAGCCAGCCCAAGACGCCAAGACCTCTTAGTCCTGTATCTATGTTAATGACAACAGAAGAGGTCTTTGGCATCAACCCATCCACTTTTATAGAGAAGTAAAGGGAGGCATGGGATGGGACAGGGAGAATGTATTCAGTAAGCCAGTGACAGAGCTGGGCTTTGAAGCCAAAGAAAACTGTTTTCCAACGTGTGGTATGCACAGCATGTGAGTACTCAAGATGGGTTTAAGCGGTACATGGAATAGTTTTTGAGGTTTCACAGTTATTAGTTATTTGAATGTGTATTAGAAATATACACATATATGTAAATGTGTATTACTATGTATTAGAAACATATATATGTATTTTGTATGATGTGTGTGTGAGGAGTAACATCAAACCCAAAATTCCAAGGATATTACACTTTAAGTCTAATTTTTTTGAAAAGTGGGCTGATTAAAAAGGAATTATTTGCTGGGTGCAGTGGCTCACGCCTATAATCCCAACACTCTGGGAGGCCGAGGCAGGAGGATAGCTTGAGGTCAGGTATTTGAGACCAGACTGAGCAAGAGCGAAACCCTGTCTCTGCTAAAAATAGAAGAAATTAGCCAGGCATGGTGATGTGCACCTGTAGTCCCAGCTACTCAGGAGGCTGAGGCAGGAGGATCATTTGAGCCCAGCAGTTTGAGGTTGCAGTGAGCTATGATGACACCACTGCACTCTAGCCCAGGCCACAGAGTGAAACTCTGTCTCAAAAAAAAAAAAGGAATTATTAAGTAAATAACAGTACCTATGGCACACAGAAATGTAAGATCGTGACAGTGGACTGCAAATGGCTAGGTCTGGGAAACACTGGAAAACAGGATCATGGTGAAGCATGCACCTCTGGAGTCTGACAGAGCCAGGTTCAAATCCCGACTACTCGCAGTGCCGCTGAAACTCTCCAAGGCTCCGACATCTCGTCTGTGAAAAGCAGACAGTGGAGGCTGGCTCTGAGGACTGCCACGCACGCACACACAGCACACACTCACAAAATCATCCCATTTTCTTTGTCTCCCTGGTCAGTGTTCTTTTCCTAACCTCCTGATGCTTCACTTTCCTGCCATTGACACAGGTGCATTCATCAAAAATACCTAAGGATTGGGCTCTAGGTGATGTCTTATCTATGGCTGAACTCCCTTGGGAGAACCTTAGCTGTCAGAGATCAGGGACATCTACACTATTCCGAGGGCCAGCAGAAACGTCCTGGTGTCAGACCTGAAGTTGAATCCTGCTCCTTATTGATTAGCTGTGTGACCTCAGGCAAGTTACTTAGCATCTCTGAGCTTCAGATTTCTCTTCTGTAACATGGAGGTAATAATAATACCTGTATCACAGATTTGTAGTGAGGACTAAAGATCTAACTAACAAATAGTAACTGCTTAAAGAACTTGAGACACTGTTTTATTATTTGGGCATTTATGCTGGATATACAGTAGTATATGACAAATTGAACTGCCCCTGCCTAGATTCTGAGTCACAGAGACTGCTTTAGCTGATTCCCCTATATAGGTGTGTCAGTTACCCACCCCAGGGTAGAGAGAGCAGAAGTCACTGAGAAGACAGTGGGTGTGGCCAGGGAGCCCCAAAGCTGGTACTAATGAATACCTCAGTAATGATTTCACCACATTTGTCGAGCTCTTTAAGTATTTGTTAAATGGTATTATTTAATCTTTCCATCATTGCTGTATGGCAGGAGGGTTGGCAATTGTTCACTCCATTTTACAGACTTGGAAAGAGATGAAGATCCAGAGGGGCTAAGTGACTTGCCTAAGGTCACACAGCAAATGATGGCAAAGCTGCATCCAGAACATAGCAACAATCCCACCTGTAGTCTGCAATTGTGTCTGCTTGCTCTCATTTCATTTTCACAACAGCCCCATGAGGTTGGGATTACTGGTCCCATTTTACGTACAAGGCAACTGAGGTATCAAGAAAGTCAGTAACTGGCTCAACTGAGCCAACCAGCACATAGCAGAGCTGGAAGCATGCTGCCTGCCTCTTTCCTGGTCTTAATAAGATTCCTGGTCTTATTGTGTGTTCTTGGGACACTGGAGAGGGAGTCTGAGACCCGCAACGAATGAAGCTCCAAGAAGCAGAAAGTGGGCACTCCCAGTGAGGTGGCATGACTGAGGCCAGAAGAGGGAACAGCATTCCCAGTCAGCCTGATAGCCTCAAGGAGGTAGGCGGGAGTACCTTGAAGGGAAGAGAGGTGGAAGGCAAAGAGGCATGTTGAACCTGCTTTCCAAGAATTTCTGAGAAAAGGAGAGGGGTTCACTTTGGTCACCTCTACTAATCCCAAACAGCCAGACTTGGATCTAAATGTCAGAGCTAAAACTATGAAACTCTAGAAAACACAGGTGTAAATCTTTGTGACTTCAGATTAGGCAATGGTTCCTTAAACATGACACCAAAACACAAGTGGCGAAAGAAAAAATAGATAAATGGGATTTCATCAATGGTTACAATTGTTGTACACCAAAGGACACCATGAAGAAAGTGAAAAGACAACCCACAATGGAAGAAAAATTTTGCACATCATATATTTGATAAGGGTCTTGTACTGAGAATATAAAGAACTCCTATAATTTATTAATAAAAAGACAAATAATCCAGTTTAAAATGAATAGACATTTCTCCAGAGATATTCCAATAAGCAAATGAAAAGATGCTCAACATTATTAGCCACTGGAGAAACGCAAATCAAAACCACAAAGAGATACCACTTTACATCTACTAGAACAGTGGTTCCTCAACCTTTTTGGCACCAGGAACCGGTTTCATGGAAGACAATTTTTCCCAGGACCAAGGTGGGGGGTGTCTTCGTTTGTGGCGAGGTGATGTGGAGCTCAAGCGGTGATACACAGGCTGTTTCCTAACAGGCCACAGACCTTTACTGGGCCACAGACCAGGGGTTGGGGACCACAGCATTAGAATGGCTATAATAAAAAAGACGGACAATAACAAATGTTGAGGATGTAGAAAAAATAGAACCCTCATACACTGCTGATAGTAATGTAAAATGGTGTAGCAACTTTGGAAAACAAAATGTTAAACATAGTTAACCCTTATGACCCAGCAATTCCACTCCTAGACATATCCCTAAGAAAAATGAAAATGTATATCCACATAAAAACTTGTACACAAATGCTAATTAGCACCATTATTCACAAGAGCCAAAAAGTGGAAACAACTCAAACGTCCATCAGCTGACAAATGGATAAATAAAATGTGGTCGATCCATGCAGTGGAGTACTATTCTCCAACAGAAAGAAAAGGAGTGCCGATACATGCTACAAGGGTAAACCTCGAAAACGTTATACTAAGTGAAAGAAGCCAATCCCAAAAGGCCTCATATTATAAGATTCCATTTCCATTCTGAAACATTCAGAATAGGTAAATCTAACTTTCGTCATAGGCAAACCTATGACAGAAAGTAAGTAAGTGGTTGTCTAGTGCTTGGGGGTGGAAAGAGGTGTGAGAGGAGTGGGTACTGGCAAAGGGTACAGAGTTACTTTGGGGGGTAAAGAATATGTTCTAAAATTCACTGTGGTGATGACTGCACATCTCTGAACATACTAAAAACCGTTAAATTGTATACTTTCAATGTGTGACTGGTAAGGTATGTGAATTTTATCTTAATAAAGCTGTTTTACATATTTTTTAAAGGCATCGATGGAGGTATGGGCCTTCGAAGGGGAAGCAGGAGCTTTGGGGGGGATGGAAATATTCTAAATATTTATTGTGTGCTGGTTACTGAGGTGTATAAATTTGTCAGAACTCATCAAAATGCGTGATGTAAATTAATCTTCAATAAAGTTGATTTAAAAGACATCATCACCACAGGTGGAGAAGGCAGGAAGAAGCTACCGGATGGGCAGCGGCAGGTATCAAGGCCACCAGGCAGCAGCAGGAAGGTTCTCTCCAGTCTCGAGGGTAAACTCAGAGAGGACTTAAGGTATCATGTGGTCCCCCAGTAACTCACCACTTGGTTCTCACAGCACCCTGGAACGCCCATCATTTCATTTCAGGCCTCCTCCGCTGACACCCCCCTGCCTTCCCAGGCCAGCTGCCAACTCTACCTCCTCCCCTCCAACGCTTTGTAACTGAGGCCAGAAGGCTGGGGCAAGTCACCATCCCTCAGTATCACCTGCTGCTCTGTACAACACTGGCTGGGGTAAGGCAGCCCCCAGGGTGGACCAGCTGCGGTTCTGTTCTGTTCGGAGTAGATGTTAAGACCTCCCCACCTCCAGCCCCAAGGGATCGGTTTTCTCCCACAGCCACTGCAAGTGCTGCGAGGCAGAGAGTTGAGTTGAGGAGCCAGGAGAAGCCAGAAGGACACTAGCATTTATCAAGCACTGTGGACTCTCACAGCACTCCCACGGGATAGAAATTATTATCATTCCCATTCTGCAGACCAGGCAACTGAAGCTCAGTGTTTAAGGAACTCACAGCCATGTCACCAGCTGGGAAAAGTGGTGGAAGCCGGGATTCAAATGCAAATGCAAGCTGGCCTTCCGTCCAAGCCTGTTCCACAACACAGAGGGTGGGGAAGGGGGGAAGGAGGAAGGCGGGGAGCCAAACTCCACATCCCTGCAGCTGCTTAGGCTGAGCTTGTCGCCACAGCACTCTCCTTCCCAGAAAAGGAAGATACACATCAGACTGAAGTCCCACACGCCAGGAGGGGTGACTTCCTGCCCTGAGGCAGCTGCAGATAGCCCAGGGGCTGCCGTTATTCCTCTCAAGGACTGTTAGAATTTCCACTCCCTGTTCTGGGCCACTCACAAGAGGCCAAGGTGATTGAAATGAAGAACGGAAAACCCCTACACACACACACACACACACACACACACACACACACACACACACACACACTCACAATGTCTGTCCTAGATGAAATTAGGCAACTTTGTGCAATGAGTGATTTGAAAACCAGGGGTCCGAGGTTCTGAAAAGGGGAGACTGCTGGCCCTTTACATTCAAACCCCACCTGGGGCAGCACTCGTTGGTCTTATTTAGCCTTACAATAGCCCTATTAAGAAATTCCTCACACAGCTAGGTGCAGCACTTCTCCCTCACAGAGGTTGAGACCAGAGGCTCTCAGAGGCTTAGGGCTCTGCGATTAGTCCCAAGATGTGAATCCCAGCAGGATACCTGGCATGCAGTCACAAATGGATTAGATAAAGGAGGTAGAGTGGGCAGAATGCCACCTGTGCTCCGGATGAAGTTTGAAGAGGCCAACAAGTGAGGCTGTCCAGCTCCCAGCCCAGTGCTTGGTCTTGAGCAGCCCTGCTTTCTGTCCTCCAAGCCACCTGTCCTTTTCTGGCTTCCACCAACCCCCTCCACCGTCCCTCCCCCAGCCCACCTGGCCCGTTCTCAGGCATACCTGCGCACATGCTGGAATAGAAGCCCTCCTTCTTGAGCATGATCAGCAGGGAGCCCCAGCCCAGAAGCACAGCAGAGAAGAAGAGGTTCTCCAGCGCGGCCGTGCAGGCCATCCACCAGCGCCTCCGGTACGCCTGCTGCAGCGTGGGGGCCATGCTGGCCGTGAGCCTGCCCAGAAACACAACGCTGAGCGAAGGGCCCCCCAGCGGTCCCTGGGAGGGGTCCTGCATCATGGTGGCTCCTGAGATCCCTCGGGGCGACCTTCGAAGGGGCCTTCATGGAGGCCCCATAGAGCCCTGAGCTTTCCAGTCGGTGCCACCGAGCTAGCTCCGCGGGCACCAGCAGTGCTAGGGGCGCACGCGGCGCTGGGCTCCCGCCGGGCCACTATCGGAAACAAGGAAAGTCCTGTGTGCGCGCTGCAGCTTCCTGGCGCGCTGCCGGGCTCTCCCACCCAGGCCAGGGCGCGCGGAACCCAGCTCCTGGGGGCCAAGAATGCACTTCCCCAGGTCCCCAGAGGTCAGCTAGGGACAGAGTGCGCTCTGAAGCACCGCTGGCCCACGTCTGGCCTCTAACTCCAGGAGGGACCCCCAGAACCAGGCAGGAGGAAGAAGGGGAAGTCTAAGGCTGCCTAAGACACCCCGCTTCCCGTTGCCCCTCTAAGACCACTCCTTCCTTCTGGGGCCGGGCGAGAGCAAGCCCTCCCCCTTTCCACACCAGGCGACCCAACTCCAGATAGTCTCGCGGGCCAAACCAACAGCTGCCACGTGGAAGGAGGAGACCCAGGGCGGGCCCTCCGGCACCCCTTCGTCCGCGCGCGCCCCACTCACTCCGGGGGGGGCAGGACACCACGCTGCGCCCCTGTGGGGGGCCGCCTGCCCCCTCAGGCCCCGGGAGGGGCTCGGACTTCGGCAGGAAGTCCGGCCGCTGCTGACTTTATAAGGGCAGTGGCGGCGGCTGGGCTGGCGGGCGTGTTTACCAGAGGGAGGGAAGCCGCCCGAGCCACCCCCGCCGCGGCCGCGGCCGCCACCGCGGGAGAAGACGGGACGCGGGGGCGGGGAGCAACAGGCAGGGTGAGACGAGCAGAAGGACCGAGAAGGGCAAGAAAGAAAGACCAAGAGCGAGGGGAGGAAAGCACGAGTCACTTCTCCCGGGGGGGCCTCAGTGCCCCCATCTGTGAAATGGGGCTTTGGGTTCAGGCGCCCCGGAGGTTCGTTCGAACTCTGACAAGAGGGTTTCTCTAAGCAGAGGAAGTGCAGCAAGAGGGGGCCTGAGAGGAAGAGAGGAGTAGGAGGGGCTGGAGGAAAGAAGCGGGTGGGGAGGACGAGGGACAGGACAATTTGCCGCGGGACTCACGGGCTCAGGTAACGGGCTTTCCCCGGGGAGCCTGGGAGTGGCGGCAGGAGCCGGCCGGGTGGCTTTCAGCTACGCACAGCCGGGACCCCACCAGCTGCTCACCTCGGGTCGGGGGCAAACGAGCCTCTTGCAGCTGCGGACGCCTCGGCGAGCGCTGCGCCTTCGCGGCGCGTCCACACTGGGCGTCCAGGGTCCGGCGGCCCAGCCCTGAGCCTCACCCGCGCCGGCCTCTCCTCTGCATGCCGGGTCCCGGCGGCCTCAGAGCTTCAGCGCGACGGCCGGGTGATCTCCCCTCCTCTGCCCCGTGAGAAGTCGGGGAGCTAGGAATCCGCCCCACGCCACAGGTCCACCGAGCGGGGCACGGACGAGGTGGATCTCCCGAGTTGATGGTTGTATTTACACGCGTCCGGAGCTGAGACCCGAGGTGGGGGCGGGGGCTCCCTTCCCTTCCCCTCCCCCTAGGTCGAGTTTCACACGCACGTGACTCGCCTGCTAGTCCCCTGACACTTTCCCTCTAACACACGCCCCAGCGCCTGAATTTCCACCCTGGACCCCCACTTCCTCCCTCAGCCCCCTCTAACGTCAGGCAGTGCCCTCTGTATCCTTGGTCAAAACAAAGAACGACTCGGCTGGAGTAGACCAACCGCGATGCAGGGCGGGCTTGGGTGGGGTTTTCAACTGTACACCTGGGAGTAGTGTTTTCCGAGAAGCAGAATGTCACGGTTTTCTTTGGAGTCAGTCAGACTGAGGTCTGAGTCTCAACTTGGAAACATACTACCCTGGTTACCTTGGGCAAGTTCCTTAACTTCTCTGTGCTCAGTTTTCTCCCAGTAAACGATGGAACTTACTACCTGTCCCGAAGGAATTACGGATTATCATGCAGGTAAAATGCTGAGTACAGCATTTGGCATCGTAACCATAATAAATGTCAAGTATTGTTGCTGTCAGTATTTCAGAAGACGTGGTGATCAGTTGCTTCCAGACCCTTAGTAATCGATTGATTCCAGGTAAATCTCTCAGCCTCCTGAGCCTCAGTTTCCTTCTCTGTAAAACAGAGGGAAGGTGTCCCTGCTTGGACAACCGTGGTGTGAATTAATGAGGTGTGATCCCATTGCGTGTCAGTTTCATTCAGTGTGTTGAGATACCCACAAAGCTCTTTGGGAACGTGAGCGACTGCACAGAAAGCTCCAAGAAGGCCTCAGGTAAGAGGGGACCCTTGGACAATTGAGCCACGAAGCCAAGAGAAGAACTAACATTTGCTGAGTGGCTACTATATGCTGGGCACTTGCCCCCAAAAATACTGTTGTTAAATCCTCAAGACATCCTGGTCTCGTTTAAACCTCACGATTTTTCACAGAGGGAGAGAACTAGGCTTGCAGCTGGAACATGGTGGTTGGACACAGGATGCGAAGACAGGTCTGTCTGGCTTTTAAGTATTGCACTTTCCATTCGTCAAGGCTGGGGTGACAGCAAGAGCAAAGGCTTAGCAGTGAAAAGACGCAAGGAGTCCTTGCTGGCAAAAGCACATGTCAGGCTCTGAGGATTTCACTTCTTAAAATGCAATAGTGGCTCCCAGAAGCCAGATCAAGGCCAAACTCCTTAACTCAAGACAAGGGTCCTAAAGGTCCTAACCCAAGAGGGTCATGGATCTCTTTGAGAATACAAAAGATGTTATTAATCCACTGTCTATGGAAACGCTGGCGCGAAAATACACACCTGTTTACATTCAAATTTCAGGGTTTTCATGTACCCTCTCCGCGAGACTAGCAGTCCATGGACCCCTCCGCTCCCCGTAGCTGGGACACTTCCTCATCCTAACCCGCATTTCCGTGTTTTCCCTTCATGCACTGTCAGCTCCATGAGGGCAAAGGCCTCATCTGGTATGTTTATTCACTGCTGTCTCTCAGCACCTGGCACCTAGTGGGCACTCAGTAAGCAAATGTGCAATGAAGAGCTCGTTTCACACCTCCCTGCTTTGCCCCTGCTGTTCCTTCCTGTGGGAATGACAGATTCCCTTGTTCATGTCTAATGTACTCATCCTCCGCAACTCCACTCACGTTCTACCTCTCTCTGGAAGCTGTCTCTGATCTCCTAGGCTGCGTTAAGGGCCTTGCCCACAAACTCCCCCCAAACACTGAGCTAACCTTTACTGAGGCCCCCACACTGATCTAGAATTATCAGCTTAGTTCCCTGCACTGTCCCTCCGCCCCCGAGATATAAATCTCTTGCGGGCAGGAACCACCATATGGTAGGTAATTCGTATGCCCATCACAAGACCTGGTGTGTAACAAGCCGTGGCAAACATTTGTTGAATAAATGAAGAGAATGATGGGAAATGAAGTGGAAAATGTAGGCTAGGGTGGTCAGTTTGGAATGACCTCTGTGAAGACAAGGACTTCCAGTGTTGTGACGTAGGTGATAGGAACCTCCTGGATTTTGCTTTCTTTTTTTTTAAGAGCCTTGCTCTGTTGCCCAGGCTATTGGACTGCAGTGGTATAATTGTAGATCTCTGCAGCCTTGAACTCCTGTGCTCAAGCAGTCCTCCTGTCTCAGCCTCCCAGGGAGCTGGGACTATAGGTGCAAGTCACCAGTCCCAGCCAATTTTTTTTTCTATTTTTTGTAGAGACAGGGTCTCTTGCCCACACTGGTCTCAAACTCCTGGCCTTAAGCAATTCTCCCACCTCAGTCTCCCAAAGTGCCAGAATTATAGGGTCCTGGCCCACAATGCTTTTTTTTTGTTTTGAGACAGAGTCTCCCTCTGTCACCCAGGCTAGAGTGCCGTGGTGTCAGCCTAGCTCACAGCAACCTCATACTCTGGAGCTCAAGCAATCCTCCTGCCTCAGCCTCCTGAGTAGCTGGGACTACAGGCGCATACCACCATGACCAGCTAATTTTTTCTATTTTTTTGGTAGAGATAGGGTCTCACTCTTGCTCAGGCTGGTCTCGAACTCCTGAGCTCTAGTGATCCTCCTGCCTCGGTCTCTCAGAGTGCTTGAATTACAGGTGTGAGCCACTGCACTTGGCCTATAGTAATTTCTTAACGTAATGCACATACTCAATTTCCGCCAATTTCTCAAAAATATCTTTTTGGTTCATACCTATAATCCTAGCTATTTCAGAGGCCAAGGCAGGAGGATCACTTGAGGCTAGGAGTTCCAGACCAACCTGGGCACCATAGCAAGACTCCATCTCTAAAAAAATTTTTAAATTGGCCCTGTGTGGTGGTGCATACTTGTAGTCCCAGCTATTCAGGAGGCTGA